TTTTTTGGTTTTTCTCTGGTACCGGGAACCGAACTCACGACCTTGCACTTGCCAGGCAGGCGCTTTGCCGCTGAGCTAAATCCCCAGCCCCTTCCATAACATTTAAAGGATCAAACTAAAATAAGAAAAGGAGAAGACTTCACAGGATACTACTTCCCTAAAATTGATTGTGGTGGTTCTTTTTCCTGAAGAAACATCATATAGGGGAACAGGAGCCATCATCTTTACCTGCTGGCAGTTTACATTCTAAGGCCACACTGTATATTAATGGTCTGGTAAGATACACGATGTATACATGCATGTGAATGATAGCTATCCCGATGGTGGGTCGCATCAGGCCCAGGGTTCTGACTGTACCACTTACTTGTTCTCCACAATGAGTGCACAAATTAAATACTGCTAAGGACACAGAGACTCAGAGAAGAAAGCTACTTTCCCAAAGCCACACAGCAGTTAAGCACAGAGATAGGGCCCTATCCCACGGCTGGCTCCAAAAGCTTTGCTCTTAATACATCATGGGAAGACAGAACTACTGCATTGTACCAGTGACTCTTTTATGTCCATCAGAGCCCTCGAGGTAGTTATAGGGAGGATAGAAAGCAGGCAGGCTGGAAGCAAAATCACATCCCTTCGCAGTGACAGATCCAGAACGTCTGCCCAGGAGGGACCCTTGCAGGTGGAAAGTGACGCTGAGGAGCCTCCTTACAGCAGCAACTGCATAACAAGAACAGACACTTTCTGCCGGGGAAGTCTGAATGGCGCGGCTTTGGTGGTCCTGGCTGCCCTTCGGGGCTTCGGACTGGCGCTGTCCTTCCAGACAGGGTGTGAAAAGGCGCCGCCCCCGCCCACCAGGAGCAGCGGAATCCGCCAGCGCCTCGCTGCCTGCTCGTCACTCTGCTGCCCTCTGCAGTGGCCACGCGGGGATGAGGACCCTGGAAAACTCGACCAGGCTCTACCCTACCCTGAACTGTGAGTAGGAAGAGTCAAACATTTAGATGCAGCCGGCAGCACAGGACCCAACCTGGGATCCGGAATAAATGAATGAATAATCAAAGGACTTTCTTAAGTAACAAATAAGAACAGTCCACTCACCCAGTAAGCTTGAGGTGTTGTTGGCGGGATGTAGGACATCACAGTAGCTAACTAAGCATGTGGCTCTGGACTCAGATCCTTGGGTTCTGAAGGTTACACGACTACTTACTGTTTGATTTTGTGCATGTTACTTGTGACTATCTGCCTTAGTTTTCCATCTGCAAAATGGAGATATACAGTAATAGTACCTAACTCAAAAAGTTGTCCTTTTTTTAAAAGAATTGTTCTAAAAATTAAATGTAATAGTTATGGTTTGTCTAGATGTCTCTCCAAAGCCTCATGCAGTCATGGGGGGGTGGGGGAGTGGGCAGCTTTTCAGAGGCAGCTGAATCCAGTATTGGTGCTTGATTCATGGTCCAATGCTGGGATTATGGATGTGAGTGCTACACCTGCCCTAGGGCAGGTAGTCTGCATACAATATAAGGGACAGAAAGAGTCTGGGCTCATAGTAAGTGAACCTCTGTGAGTCACTAATCCCTAATAAAACTTGTAGTGGTGATGAAGGCAGAAAGCCTCAAAGGATAAGACAAGATCACAGCCACGGACACCTGGATCCAACCTCAACTAGATAAATACTGTAGCCTCAGGCATCTCGTTCCTAGGTGGATTAACTTAATACCTTACTTGAAGAAGTCCTTGAGTGATTCCTCCCCTCTTGAGTACTCCACTCCCTTCTTCTGATAACCAAATAAATATGGGCCACCCAGAGAAGGTCTTGGTCTTTACCCTAAGACTTTCAAATTCTGCAAGAGGGCTTTGATCCTCCTGGAGCCCTGAAATCATTCCATTTGCCTCTTTTTATTTAGCCCTCATCATACACTCATTCAGGAGATTGCGGACCTCAATAACTAATTATTCCACTGATTTATTTGGCGTAATTCTGGGTGTGGATAATGGAAAGGCCTACCCTAGGTGCCACCACCCTAAGGGCGAGTGGCCTGAATGGATATAAAGGGTCAGAAAAAAGGTAGGCCACCTCCTGCTTCTGCTGCTACTTCATTGCTTTGCTGCCTTCTGCCTGCCATACCATGAAGTATTTCTTCTCTGTGATGCCCCTGTGCCATGCCACCCTGCCTTAGAGGCAGCTGACTACAGACTAAAACCTCTGTAAACTGTGAGCCAAATAAATCTTTTTTCCTTTAACTCTAGGTGTCAGATATTTTGTCTCAGCAACAAGAAAAATAACTAAGACAATCGCATGTAAAAGAACACATGGGATGAGAGAAACTTTTGCAGCCATCTTTGAAAAGATCTACCACAGCTAAGGGATTAGTGAGGAATGAGATTTTCTTAATACCATTTGGATTGAGTGACTCAGTTAGGCATATAAATCTGAATTTGAATTCCAGAGTTACCCACTAAAGTGAAAAAGTAAATGAGGATGAATATTTTTAAATTAGCATAACATATTTACACATGACTTAAATATGGTTATTCCTCAGAATATGGAAAATAATTCCTTTAAGTCTAAATCCTATTCAGAACTAGCAGTGATTTCTAGTGATTTCTAAGACCAAAAAGTAACAACTTTTCCTTAAAACAAAGGTTGAAATTAAGACCACACCTAAAGTGTGATCAAAATATACAATGAGCCAGGCATGGTGGTGCACACCTGTAATCCCAGCACTTGGGAGGCTGAGGCAGGAGGATCGCTGCGAGTTCAAGGCCAACCTGGGCTACAAAGTGAGCTCAGGGCCAGGCTAAACTGCATATTGAGACCCTGTCTCAAAAAGACAAAAAAAAAAAAAAAAAGTATATATATATATAGATAGATAGATAGATAGATAGATAGATAGATATAGATGATATAGATATAGATAGATATAGATATACAACAAATATTTAAAATTTATTACAGTGAAAAGACACCTTGCCATTATTCCCTCTCAAAATACTCCACCTCACTTTAAACACATTTATATCATCGTTCTTGCCACTTTTTGAAGCAGAGGTCCTCTTTCATGTTTTTGTGAACAATCAAAGATACAGTGAACACTGTAACTAAGACCTATCCAACAGAAATACAGGCTCATAAAAACATGCAAATGTGTCTTCATCCACCATACCACAGAACCTGGCACTGTGTGATGTCTGGTCCTTCCCCAAAGTCAAAATGACCATAAGAAGTGAACATCTGTAATAGATTCAGGACATCAAGGCAGCATGACAGCACAAGTAAAGACACTCAAAAAGAGGACTTCCAGAAGTGCTTCAGAAAGTAGAAAGAATGGTGGGATAAATGCGTTTGAGGTGAGAAGGGAGGGTATTTGGAGGGGGTCTCAGGCAATATGTCTTTTACTGGAATGCACTTTTTAAAAATTTAAACACGTACAACCTACTGCAGTATCTCCTACTCTGTGAATAGTGACAATGATGAGCGTATAGTGAACAGCTGAAGGGTAGTATGTTAAAGTGAGCAAAGCAGAAAACAATAAAAGGGAACCTGAATAATGACTAAGAAGAGGCAAGGAGAGTCTCGTAATTGCTATTCCTGAGACCTCATTTTTCCCACCTCCTCCCTTGTGTACAATTCATTAAAAAGTATGATATACTATACATTTTATTTGCATTTTATATTTTATTTGGGGAGAAATGTTTAAAGGCCTTGTAGAATTTCTGGATATGGCCACAGTTGTATATGAAATCACAAATAAGATTGGCAAAAATCTAGCCAAGTGAATTATTATTTATCTCAAACTCTTCAGTTCCCATGACTATAGAAAGTCTGGTCTGGGAGATAAGTTAGAGATGTATAACATTAAAAAGGAAAAAGGAGAAAGATTCTGATAGATTTTTTTTAATTTTGGAGAGAACAGAAAGCAGCAAGAGAGAACACTAAGATTTGAGGCCTGCATGATAAATGAATGGTTATGTTTCCTAGAGTGATTAAGCAGGTAAGTGGAAAGGAAAAAGAATTGTGTCTGCACAGAAGAATTACAGAAACAACAAGTTTGGAACTAAAAGAATATTTCTAGGGGAGGTAGTAGCCATCCAGCAGTTTCAGACATCCTGACATCACTGGCTTACTTCTACTTGAGAAAGCACCCCCACTGCTTCATTCTCATTTTATGAGACTATAACTTTTTATTATTCATTTTACTGTTTGTCATTTATTGAGTTGTTTCTACCCAGTGTGTTTACAACTCACATAAAATACTGAAGACAATCAAATATACAGAAACAAGGCTGGGAAATGTAACTTTCCCAGTGAAAATGTCATTAGTATCTAGGAGCAGCTGCATACTGTAAAACAATTGGAGTCACCTGAGATAGAAGGCAGAGCAAAAACAAGGGAAATGCATATCTAGATCCCTTGATGGAAAACTTTTTTTAATAGAAGGTAGATTTAAATGCGCCATCAGAGAAAAAGGATAAGTTGTCCAAGTGAGAAACTAGACAATCCATCAAGAACAGAATGCAAATAGAAAAAGGTGAAGTTCTCGTGGGAACAGGATATAAAATTGATGACAATAGGCCTTCCTAGAGGATGAAGAGCAATATAACAATGTGTACTGTGCATTATTTGCATAAACTCCAAAGAACTTGGCACCATCTACATTTTCTACATCAGAAAGAACCAGGAAGTATGGGGGAAAAAAGATCTCATGCAGCCAAAATAAGGGTTAGAATATTCAACTTTACTAAAGGAAATACTCAGATCCTTGTTTACAAATAATTCCAATAAGCTTAGCTGTTTTTACAAACTAAAGCCCTTAGGAGGTTCAGATTCAACATTTACATGTTATCTTAACAGGTCACATTTGTAGAGCATTAACTATGCACTCAGCTCTGTTCTAAGTTCTACCTAGATGGATGAATTTAACAGCACAACAACCTAAGGGATAAGGATTAGGGTTAGCCCCATTTTTATAAATGAGGAAATTAAAATAGATTTTTCTTAAATACCCCAAATTACATACGTAGCTAGTGGTAGAGAGCTGGGATATGAACCTAGTTAGGCTATAAAGGCTAACTGTGTTCCCATAGCCTTAATAACTAGCCCAGCTCTTGAGTGCATGAAAATTTCCTAGAGTTTTTAAAACAGATTAATGGGCTTCACTGTCAGACTTTCTCAGTAGGTCTGGGATGGCACTAAAGATCGTATTTCTAACAAGTTCCCAAATATATTAGGGCTGCCACAACAACTCACCACAATCTGAGTGCCTTAAACAATAGCGATCTACTTTTTCACAGTTTTGGAAGCTAGAAGTTCAATATCAAGATGTTAGAGGGCTTGGTTTCTTCCAAGACCTCATTCATTGTCTTACAGATTGCTATCTTCTTTCTGTGTGTCTATGTCATGATTTACTCTTGTTATAAGGACATCAGTCATATTGCATTAAGGCCCACACTAATTATAGTTTCTCATTTTAATCTAATTGCTTCTTTTAAGACACTATCTTCAGATAGTTATATTCTGAGGAATTAGGGGTTAGGAGTTCAAATATGAGTTGGGAGATATAAAGGTAGGGGTACACAGTTTAGCCCATAACACTATTTGAGAACCACTGAGATAAACAATAATGTGTCATGGAATGTTCTGGATGCTTTTATACATGTTTTCTTATTCAATTATTGTACATAAAATATTTTTAATTCTCACATGAGAAGAGTATTGTGCTCATTTTCTTGCAACTGAGGATCAGAAATGTTTAAAGACTTTCCTTAAATCAACAGTTAGGGCCAGGGATATAGCTCAGGGGCACAGCAACTTGGCAAGCACAAGGTCCTTAGTTCAAGTTCCAGTACCAAAAAGAACAACAAAACAAAAATAAATCACACAGCTAATGCAGTGGACACTGTAGCTGTATATTTAGCTTCCATTCTCCCCTTCCCCTCTTCCTAACAGAATCCTATTTTATTTATAAGTCCTCTTCCCAGTTCGCCCATATGTTTCAGTGGAGGCAACATCCTTTTCCCACCCCAAATCCTGGAGCAGGCCAGATTAAACTGCTGATCTTCTTTCCCGTTTCAATAGCGGTTCCAGGCATAGGTATGTGATCCAATTCTGGTCAATCAGATGTGAAGGAAATCTTCCCACAGGGATTCTGAGGAAAAGTTTGTCTAAGAAAGACACAAGATGTTAGGAAGTCTCTGTCCTTCCCTCATATCATGACAAAATATGAGACCTGAATCAGCTCCAGTTCATCCTGCCACCAACCTGAGAATGAAGCCTACAGAGCTGAGAGAAGGAAAGGACTGCTTGTGACATTGTTGAACACTTGCCCCCACCAAACCTGGACTCTCCCATTTTCCAAACTTCCTGCTATGCAAGCAATATGCTCCTTTATTGTTTGAAACAGTCTGGGTCAGAACTTCTCTCCCTCACAGCCCAAGGCGGCCCATCTGATTCAGCTGGTAAATAACAGTGCTATGATTTGAGTTATATGCAGGCATACGAGCAAAGAAATAGCTAAATTCAACATGACAGCAAGGCTGGAGGCAGAATGAATTCTCAATACAAGAACTCAAAAAGCTTAGCAATTTACATGAGGACAGATGCTATATGATTCCACTTATATGAGATGTCTAGAGTAGTCAAACTCATGGAAACAAAATAGAATGGTGCTTGCAAGAACTGGGGAAAATAGGAAGTTGTTGTTCTGTGATGTCTTACTCTGTTTTGTGTTGCTATAACAAAATACCCAAGGCTGGATACTTTCTAAAAAAAAGAGGTTTATTTGGCTTACAATTCTGCTGGTTGGAAAGTCCAAAAAGCATTGTGTATGGTGTCTGGCTACACCAGGGCTGTGGCAGAACTACACGTGTGGGAAGAAGGAAGCAAGCTCAGGGAGGGACAGCCTCCCTCTTTAATAACAATCCCTTCCCACCCACCCCACTTTGTAGGAATTAACTTTGTCCTCTGAGAAGTACTTAATCTTTTCCAAGAGTGCTGCCCTCTTGATCTAATTACCTTCCACCAAACGAAACCTCATAAAGTCTCCTCTACCTCAATGCTGCCACACAGGGGACCAAGATTCCAACACAGGAACCTTCAAGGACAATACACATGCAAACCATAGCACATGGGGTATAAAGTTTCAGTTTTACAAAATGAAAAAGTTCCAGAGCTCTGTTACTTAACAATGAAAATGCAACTAAATACTGTACAGTTAATACTGCTAAACTGTATTTTAAAAGGTTAAGAGTGTAAATTTTATACTTTTAACCATAATTTTTTAGAAAGGCATGGCAAACTAGAGTCATTTAGGATAGAGATAAGGAGATCTACATACTTCATAAACCTTGAGGATATTACATACAGAACATTGGGCTCTTTGTTCCTCCTACCTTAAAAGACTGTGCACAGGCTGTTCCTCTACCTAGAATATTCTTTTCCCAGATGTGTGCATGGCCACATCTTTCACTGCCTTCAGATTTTCAAATGTCTCTTTTCTCAATGAGGCCTACCATGACCACCATACTTAATATTGCAACACACTCCACCCTACTCACCTCTAGCACTTCCCATTCCCCTTACCTTGTTCTACTTCTTCTATCTTTTCATCATCACTTCCTAGCATGTTTTATAATTTACTCAAGTTTATTATTTATTATCTGCCTCCATTCTCTAAAACATGTCTTAGTTACATTTCCTGTTGCTGAGACAAAATACCTGATACCCAAAGTTAAAGGAGAAAAGGTTTATTTATCTCACAGTTTGTAGAGGTTTCAGTCCATAGTTGAATGGCTCCGAGGCAGGGTGGCTTGGTAAAGAGGCATCACAGAGGCGAATCAGTTCGTGGCAGGCAGAAAACAGCAAAAGCATGCAAGCGACTAGCAACAAGCCTTTTTCTGTCCCTTAGATCTTATCCAGGCTACCCCCTCCTTAGGGCAGGGAGCACTCACACCCTTAGTCCTAGCATTGCACCACAAATCAATCCCAGTGTCACATACTCTAGATCCAGCCACCTCTGAAAAGCCCCACCTATGACCACATGAGGTCTTGTGGGGACATCTAGACACAAGCCATAACATTCTGTTCTTGTTGCTCCCAAAGATTCATGCATATCCCTTTACACAAAAGGCATTTAGACTATCTTTAAGAGTTGCCAAAGTCCTAACAGTTTCAGCATTGCTGAAAAGTCCAAAGTCTCCTCTGAGATTTCAGGCAAACTCTTACCTATAAATCCCTGTACAAGAGAAAAGAAAGTTAAGCCCTTTCAACATACAATGGCATAAGTATTACCGTTCCAAAAGGTACAAATAGAGGGCTAGAAAGCAACAGGACCAAAACAAATCTAAAACCCAGTAGGGCAAACATTAAGTCCTACAGTTCCTTGTGTAGCGTTTGAGGCAATCTGTGGCAGATATGAACTTCAAAGGGCTTGGGTGGTTCTGCTCCTATGGCACTTCTGGTGGCTGTAGCTTATATGGCTTCTCTCTTGGGCCCACTCTGCTCCCTCCTTGCAGTTTTCCTCAGATAATCCACATTCCTGGCTTCTCTAAACTCCTGGGGTCTCCAATGCACCTTCAGCTTCACACACATAAGATCAACAAGAACAAGGATCTTTTGTCTATTTTTGTTCTCTCATACATCCCAAATGTCTAGACTAATGCACTCAGTAAATACTGAGGGCTGGGAATATATCTCAGTGGTAGAGAACTTGCCTACCATGAATGAGACCCTGGGCTTAATTCCTAGTACCAGAAATAAATATTCACTGAAAGAATAAATGAACATTAATATTTATCATGATAAGTATCAATTATCTGCTAGAAAATTTGTATACACTGACATTATAAAAATAAAAATGACTCCTGAAAAATGACTTCTATGCTGAGGTGGCAGATCTAATTTTGCTTCCACCCCACCACCACCACAAAAACTATAATCAAGAAGATGGGAGAACAGGAAGAACATTCCCAAAATGTGGAATGCTAGAAAGCACACAGACTAGTAGTAACTTACTTAGCAGGTATGAAAGCTGAGTCCTCAGGCTTCAGGAGAAACAATTTAATTTATATCATAGGAACCTCAAAAGACTCAGAACAGGCTGCACCAAGTATCTCTGGAAGTAAGAGGTGAACGGGAAGGTATAATAAGGAATTTGGGGGAAGCCTATGTGAGAAGACAGGGATTCCTCCCTACTCCACTCTTGTGGCAAGCGTCTTCTCCCACCTTGATATGATGGGTCCTCTGGAGAGAGTAACCGGATGGATCTTTTGATTTGAGGAACTAGTACTATGCTAAAACTAGGGAAATTCAGAGACCAAATACATGTTGAATGCTGAGCCCCTCAAAATACTGGCAATCGGGCCTTTACTCTTTAGGCAGAAGATCAAAATGTTTATTTTAATGAATAATCTGACCAACCAAATGGAAGATCTGAAGATACCAACAGCTGATCTTGCTCATCATGTGGCTCAACCAGATCATCATACCGTACAACTCAAAGCTGATAACTCCCACACAAGTGCTCAGGTTTTTAAGTTCCCACTTTTAACATAAGCAGACAATCAAGGATTCACCAAACAGCTGAGGGAGATCTCAAAACAAGCAAGGCCGAGGTCAAGGCTTGACTGACTTGATCAGTCACACCACTTTTAGATTCAGATAGTTTATTACACAGACAGTGAACAAACCAACCAAAGGTGCCAGTTCCCTATGATCCTTGTCTCACATATCAAGAAGGTAACATTAAAACAAAATGTATCTGAGCCATGTGTGGTGGTGCCTGCCCATAATCCTAGCACTTGGGAGGCTGAGGCAGGAGGATCAGCACAAGTTTGAGGCCAGCCTCAGCTACATAGTGAGTTCAAAGCCAGCCTGGATTACACAGTGAGACCCTGTCTCAAAAACAAAACTGAACAAAAAATAGAGCAGGTGTCCGCAAGGCGTTGCGAGGCAACCTTTTGTTGATGAGACAATTCTAGACTCCTGTTAAGCAGTTTTATGCTTTGCAACTCTACTGGGGAAGGGAAACAAGAAATCCCATACATAATTAGAACCCTGGAAGTGATGAGAAACCTCTCGTGTCAGCCTCCTAAAATTGTAGGGAATTGAGTGGGAGGTGACTACCTATCCTCTTATGTTCCTTAAGAACCACAGAATGGTCTGTCAAGACTCAAATTAGATGCTGATTAGGTCAACAGTTAAAGATCCGATAGTCAACACTCCATCATATTCCTGTTTTTGCTAGAATGGCTCCAAACAGACCAGGCAGATCAAGGATGTTGACAGTAGACAAATTCAACCAAACCGTAGCCTCTGTGGTTCCTATGGTATCTTTACTAGATACTAGGATAGACGAACACGCCCTCAGGCACACAGCATGTGACCGCTGATCTGGAAAATGTTTCTTTTCTATTACTACCAGGAAAAGGGACAAAAACAAGACTATATTCTCAGTCTTCCTCCAAGGCCATGACCCAAATGACAATACTCTTATCAGGACAGAGAAGCCAGAGTATGGAGGTACCTGGAGAGGCTTCGTGGACAGAGGAAAATGTCAAATCTCTACCCTAGAAAAGGGACAATAGTCCGGATTGGTATTCAGATTTCTGACAATCAGTTCATACATTAGCACCATACCTAATTGAAAGAATAAAAACCTTAAAAATACAGTACCAAAATGAAGCAACTTCACACTCCTTCTGTGCTGGAATTCTATGAATATTATGAAATATATTTCTAATGGAATGTATTATTGATCACAAATATTCCATGTCACTCCCTAAGGAATGAGTGGATTCTCCTGCTCATAGAATCAGGAATGGTTGTGTGACTTGTTTTGGACCAACAAAATAGGAGCAAAATGTGACATGTGTCACTTTCAGTCAGCCACTTTAAGAGGTTGTCTGCCTGCCTCTGAGATTATGCTAACAGGAGCATCTGACAGACTAGGTCTCTGAGAAGTACTACAAACAAAAACAAACTAAACCAATAAAATAGAGAACAAAATTTTACCCCACCTGCAAATAACAGCTACATTAGAGCAAAGACAATGTCTATCCTGGTATTGTATCCCAACATTTGAAGGAAGGCACTTCCGAAGACCTTTGGTTTGTGCTGGGGTCTACCTGAACCCCTTAACTAGCATTAACTGTGCCGCTCTCTGCCAAGCCAAAACATCACAAAGATGGTTGAAACTTAATGGAAAGAAATCTAGCGAAGCAAATAGTAACCAAGTCTTGAAATTACTTTCAATAAAAGACTTACTAGTAGGTTTTTGTTTGTTTTTAAGCCTAACGTGGGGGGCTTCAGCCACTGGAAAGCCGACCCTGTGCACTACCTCTAACAGTGCAACACACCAAGGCAATCAGCACAACCGTGTGGGGCCTGTTGTTGCCATGTGTCTCCACTTCTCACGTAGGTGCCAGCAACCAGTTAGCAAGCCAACTGCCTACAACCCAGCAGTCTGTGCCCCAACTCGCGGAGCAATGGTCTGTCAAGGTGCCTCTTGGGACCCCAGGCAGCTCACCTCCACTGGGAGAAGCATAGACCAGACCCGGATGTACATACGAGGAAAAGCCAAGGCCCGGGCCCGGGTGGGTGTTCTGGCCACCAGTCTGTGATTGAAACCTGTAGGAGTTGGAAGGGCTGACGGGAGACCAGAGCAGAAGACACACTCAGGATAAAGCCTAAACCGGAAGCCAGACCATTACGGCAAGAGCCAACAAGTACCCTGGGCCTCCGCCCCTTAGAGGCAATCCCGGTGATTCTCTTCTATTTAAGGGCAATCCCGCACGGGTGGGACCTGGAGAGGCACAGGTGACCGCCCGCCCCCGCTCGCTTCCCTATGCTTCGCGATCTCGAGAGAGCTGCAGTTCTCGCGATCCTTCCCGAGCCGCCCCTCCAGGCGGAGTCCGCGCCAGTCCTGACACCGGAGGAGGGTCCGAGGGCGGAGACTGCCCGGGAGGGAGAAGACCCTTGACCGGCCGTGCAGAAGCCTCCGAGGGAGGGTGGTGTCCACTCCCGGATTCAGAGTCCCGATGCCCAGCGCCAGCGCCAGCCGCAAGAGTCAGGAGAAGCCGCGGGAGATCATGGATGCGGCGGAAGTGGGTTTCCTCCGTCCCCGGGCCTGGGAGGGCAAACTGTGCCGGACCGCGCCCGCAGAGAGGGAGTGGGGTGAGCAGGGCCTGCCCTCGCGGTCTCGGCGCAGGCCGCGGGCCCGGGTCTGTGCTCCCGAAACCTCCGCGGGGCCTGCGCGCCTGTGGCTGGAGCAGCGTGGCGGGCCAGCAGCGGCCCGCTTTGCTCGCCGGGTCGCGTGGCCTGCGAGAACCGTCTCCTGGGTGGGGTGGGCGCGAGGCACCTACTGCCCCGGAAGTAGAAGCGGCGGGGTCAGGCTTAAAGCCTTGGTTAGGCACGTCCTGCACGCAATGCACATCCGAACCCAACCCCCACCCCTCCCCGGGAAAATTTTGGTAACACCGGTAACTGATCTCTTCTCAGCCCTAGTGTTCCCAGTGTTTTAGCAAGTAATCACAGTACTTTGCAAAGCCATCTACCTGCCAGTATGTTTAATGACCATTTTGAATATGACAGCTTTAAAGAACACATTTTTATTCTCATTCTGCTCCGTGATCCAGTGACGTACATAGCAAAGATTATAGAGACTGCCTTTGAGATGAACCCCTGACCCTTAAGTGCTTTACAGAAGCCGAAGTTTGAACCATTCCACAAGTTGTGTGCTATTGAGCGGAGGTCCTAGTTTATATATTGAGGAATTTTCTAAAGTTTGGTAAGCTATATAATCAATACGCCAACTCAGCATATTAAATGGAATAAAGGTTTCTGAAATATGAATAGTACTAAAAGTCCACACACCTGTTTCGTGAGTATAATTTGTTAGTACCCTGAACCTGAAGTCTCCCGTTTCCTATTCTTAACTTTGTGACCGGAAATTTGATGTTTTTGTATTGTCGTTTTGGGTAGCCCTTGTAAACTTTTTCTCAAGCTAGTTTTTAGAAACAGGAAGCTGGTGCATTCTTAGATGCTGTTTTACAAAAGGAATGTTGTAGTTAGTTTTTGTTCAGCATCTCAGATTTCTAAAAAGTGGACATGGCTTACCCAAAGCATTGATTCTCCAAAGCAATAGTTAATAAAATTGTAGTACTTTATCCTACTTCCTTCACAAGGAAATTTATATTCCTGCTGTGAAGTAGTTTGGTCACCCTTTTTCAAGAAAGTAGTTAAGGTGTGTTGTACATATGTGTAAGTTTTATCTTGAGAGTGCAGCTGCATTGATGATTTCCAAAACAAACCAGAAACAAGGTGCTTTTTATTTCTGTAGATATGTCTGTAAATGGGTGACAGATTACCATTGAACGATAAATTGCCATATTTAAAAACTGCTGACTGGATTAATGAAATGAACCTGAAAAATAAATTCATTACAGTATGGTTATTTGTGTTTATGTGTTTAAATAACAAGTCATAATTCAAGAAACTTTTTTTGTAGGATTATGCTAAGGAGAGATATGGAATATCTTCAATGATACAATCACAAGAAAAACCAGGTTAGTAGCTATATGATTATAGAAACTTCCTTTTCTAATGCCAGGAATGCTCTTCATGAAGTTCTAAGTAGGCCTGGCATAAGTAAAGGTATAATTTTGAAAAGCTTAAATGACATTCATAGCTAGGTTTAGGTCTTGATCTAAAAAAGAAAAAAAACAAGTTGTTGAATATTTTAAATGACAGTTTTTTAAAATTACCTAAATAAGTAAGATTTAACTCGTCTTAGTGAATAAGAGTGGTCAGTAACGCCTTTCATCACAGGCAGCTCTTTTGCATGCTTTCAGGAAGCCATCTGTTACCCATCTTCCCAACTTTATTTCTCTCTTTTAGCTATTAGGTATTTATTTTTGCACATGTATTATTATTGCTTAGGATATAAACTGATATATCAGAGAATATATACAATATATACATTTATATTTAATGCTCTTTTTACTTATTGCCTGTCGCGTTTTGTTTATCAGCTTTTTATTAGTACATATTTGCTGTACATAATGATCACATTCATCATAGGGAATCTGTACCTGCACATAATTTATCTTAATTCTTCCTTTTTTCCCATTTCCCTCCCCTCCCTTCAACCCTTCTTCCCGTTTGTTTACAGAAGCTTTTTCATTTTTCCTTTCCATTCTCTTTTATGAATCCCTTTTCCCTCCCCCTGTCCCCTCCATTGTTCCCTTTCCCACTGGAACACGTTCTTCCTACTTCCCTATATCTGTCCTCCATTTTGCTCCTTGTTTATCCTTTGGGTTTCTTACACAAGAGGAACAATGTGATATTTAAACTCGTGTTTCTGACTTATTTCACTTAAAAGTAAAATCTCAAGGTGCATCCATATACCTAAAAATGCCTCAAATTTATCCTCCTTTCTGGCAGAGTAGTACTGCATTGTACATAAAAACCACATTTTCTTTATCCATTCATGTGTTGATAGGCACCTGGGCTATTTCCAGGACTTAGCTGTGACAAATTGTGCTGCTATAAACATGGGTATGCATATATTGCTGTAGTATGTGATGTCTTTAACTCTTTTTTGGGAAGATACTAAGAAGGGAATAGCTGGGTCAAATGGAACCTCTCATTTCAGTTTTTTTGGGGACTCTCCACACTGATTTCCATACTAGTTGCACCAATTTACACTGCTGCCAACAGTGAAGAAGAGTTCCTTTTTCTCCACAGCCTCACCAGCGCTTGCTATTGGTTGATTTCTTAATGATAGCCATTCATTTTGAAGTGAGATGAAATCTCAGCATTATTTTGTTTGCATCTCTTGAATGACCAGTGATGTTGAACATTTTTTTCATATATTTATTTGCTGTTTGTATTTCTTCATCTGAGAAGTATCTATTTATTTGAGAAGCCCATTTTTGGATTGGGTTCTTTATATATTCTCGATACTAGTCCTTTATCTGAGGAATAGCTGGTGAAAATCTTTTCCCATTCTGTGAGTTGTCTCTTCACCCTGTTGGTAGTTTCTTTTGCTATGCAAAATCTTTTTAATTTGATGTGATCTCAGTTGTTGATTCTTTGTAATATTTCCTGTGTGGTTGGGGTTTTGTTCATAAAGTCTGCCTACACTATGTCTTCAAGAGTTTTACCTGTTCTATCTTCCAGCAGATTATTTCTGCTTTTATATTTAGGTCTTTGATCCATTTTGATTTTACTTTAGTGCACAGTAAAAGATAAGGTTCTAAGTTCAATTTACAGCATGTGGAAGTCAGTTTTCCCAGCACCATTTATTAAAAAGGCTGTCTTTCTTCCAGTGAAGGTATTTGGCCCCTTTGTCAAAGAGAAGGTAGCTGAGTGTGTTCGGAGTTGTTTCTGCATCTTCTGTTCCATTAATCTTTAGATCTGTTTTTTTGCCAGTACTGTGCTGTTTTTATCATTGTGATCTGTGATATGCCTGCCTTGCCCTTATTGCCCAAAATTGCTTTTGCTATTCTAGGTCTCTCCTGGTTCAATATGAATTTTAGGGTTGTTTTCTCTAGTTCTGTAAGGTATGCTATTCGTATTTAAATTGGGGTTGCATTAAATCTGTGTAACAGTTTTGAAAGTACAGCTATTTTTGGTACATTGGTTCTCCTTATCCAAGTACAAGACATATCTTCCCATTTTCTCATATTCTCTTCAGTGTCCTTTTTCAGAGTATTATAGTTTTGAATGTAAAGGTCTTTTACTTCCTTTGTTAGATTGATTTTAAGTATTTCATTTTTCTTGATGCTATTGTGAAAGCTGGTGTTTTGTTAATTCCTCTCTCAGTCAGTTTGTTATTTGTGGACAGGAATGCTATTGATTTTAAGTGTTGACTTTGTATCCTGCTATGCTACCTAATTTGGTTATAAATTCTAGAAGTCTTTTGGTGGAGTTTTTGGGGTCTTCTATGTAAAATACGTCATCGGCAAATAATGATAATTGAACTTCTTTTCCTGTCCATTTCCCTTTTATTTCTTTCACTTGTCTAATTGCTCTGGTCAGTATTTCCAGAACATTGAACAAGAATAGTGATAGTGGGCATCTTTGTCTTGTTCTGATTTTAGAATGAAAGCTTTTAGTTTTTGACCATTTAGTATGATGTTGGCTCTTGGTTTGTCATAGGTACCTTTTATCAGATTGAAATAAAGAACTTTTATTCCAATTTTCCTTAGGGATTTTATCATGAATGGGTGTTGGACTTTGTCAAATGCTTTTTCTGTATCTCCTAAAATGATCATGTGGTTTTTATCCTTGGTTCTGTTGATGTGGTATATTACATTTCTTTGTTTCCATATGTTAACACATTTCTGCATCTCTGGGAATGAGTCCTACTTGGTATATCTTTTTGCTGATTTGGTGCATTCTATTGTTGGCTATTATTTATTAAACTCTTGTTCTGCTTGACTCTTTCCCAACATTCATTTTTTTTTTTTAATTTTTTTTTTAAATTTTTGAGACAGGATCTCACTATGCAGTTCAGGCTGGCCTTGAGCTCACTTTTAGCCCAGGCTGGTCTTGCACTTGCAATGATCCTCCTGTCTCAGCCTCCCAAGTGCTGGGATTACAGGAGTGCACCACCTCGCCCAGCTCCCAACATTCATTTTCTCATTTAATCCTTACAAAATCCTTAAAAGCTCTTAACAAACCAAAGTTGAGAAATAAGAAACTTGCCTCACACTGCCAAGAATCTGCCAGGCCTAGGATGAGAACCCAGGCCATCTGACCGAGAGCCTTTGACCTTCTGTCCTCATTAGCTCCTTTGGTAGTGCTATAATTTGAGTATTAGCACCTCTGCAAAAATCTTAATACTTTGCTCAAAATAGTTTCCGTTCCCATCGGCTTACATTTTTCCCAATTCCTTTACTGTAAGGCTAGTATTACCAGATTTTGGAGTGCTAGAGTCTCCTTCTAGAGGTGATTTTTAGATTCTTTCTGTCCCGAGCAAAACATTGATCCAGCACAAATGGTGATAAAGTTTTACATTTATGAATGGTAGGAAAAAGCAAACTCTGCAGATGTGAGTTTCGGCCAAATAAAGGTAGGAAAAAGTACACTATAGGGGATAGATTGGGCTATCGTGAAGGGACACAATAGCAAGAGCTCAATTGTGGCTCTCTTTTTTTCATATTTCCTATGCTGGTACCAGGTCTGGGACCATCCTATCAAAAACCTGCTTAAGATCTCATGAGAAGTCCACAAGCAGGGTTTTGGGAGCTGTTCTGCACATATGTCCTGGGATTTTCTAATGAACAGGTTACACCTACTTCCCTAGCTAGTCTCTCACACCCTCCCGGGATTTTGTAATTAATAGGTCATACCTACTCTCCCAGCTAGTTTTAGCCTGCCCTAGCCTTCTCCCTTACTAGTAAGTTGAAAAATGATCCTAATCATCACTCTTAGCCCACTCTTTCAGATTAATGGTACTTTGTTTAGGTTTAAATTTTGATTGCTTAGTCAGTAAGCCAGATGTTTTTCAGTCTCAGGGTTTTCAAATCTTCATTTTCAAATATTATGATGCTTTGTCTCACTTTTCTCTTTCACTGTTTTGAGTTTACACAGTAGACTTGGAAGTTGGCTTGAGTTTTAAAGTCTGTTGGCAATGCTTAGCGGAAATCCTTTTATGATGCCTGGTAGCTTTGAAATTCCTATTTCGTTTTCTTTGCTTTTGGTGATGAAGACTGTGATAAAATGTGCACTGAAGGTGACAGAGAAAAAAGTACTATCAAATTGAGAATTACTTAAGTTTTCACGCTTTCAGGAACAAAACATTGTTAAGTTTCGAATTTAAAAATTGCTTTACTGTTTATTGCAGATCGAGTTTTGGCTTTGGTTAAAGACTTGACAGTACAAAAAGCTGATGAAGTTGTTTGGGTGCGTGCAAGAGTTCATACAAGCAGAGCTAAAGGTAAAGTTGATTTAATGATTATAGGCCTTCTGCATGATAAGAACACTGAGTTTTTTATCTTTTATCTTTTTAACAGTGTTTTAAGTTGTTCACACACCAAAGTAAATCTATAAAAACAAAACAGAAACATGCAGCTTTTCTTTCTTAAATCACTGTGAAGTATTATTTCATGGTTAGTTAGTTTCAGGTTCCTGTAAGACAATCTTAAAAATAATGTTACCCTAATGGCTTCGATAAAATCTAAGGCTTAAAGATACTTTTTAGTGTTTCTCAAACATTTAACTATTGCAAAGAATATGTTTGAAAAGGTTCTTGTATGCTAAGACATTTCTATTTGTAATTGTGGGGAGAGAAGTACAAGAGAATCAGGTTGAGTCTGGGCTGTTCAGCACAGTAGCCAGTGCCCACATGTAGCTATTTAAATTTAAAGCCAGAAATTCAGTCACACTAGCTCTATTTTGAGTGCTTGATAACCACATGTGGCACTGCCTCCCCTTTTGGACAACACAAATACAGAACATTTTCCACACTGTAGAAAATTTTTTCCAACTATGCTAAGAGTTTAGCATTAACAACAACAGGAACATTAGCGTGGCTGCAGCAAACCATAGTTTCTTATGCACTGTCTGAAAATATTAATGACATTTATATTGGTTTATAGTTGTATTATTTTTTGTATACTTTTGACATTTGATTGTCTCTATAAATATTTAAAGTAGGCGGAACAAACATTACTTTTATACATGAGGAGACTGAGATTCACAGTCCTAAAGCTACTTGCCCAAAGTCTCCTACTAATTCATGATACAGGAACAAAATCCTGAAATTCTGTAAAACACTGTATCTTTAGTAGAGTTCTATCTTCTATAATACTGTGTAGAATACATCCCATTTACACCATTTTTATTGTGTTTTAAAATATTGCTATTATAGAATTAATGTATGTCCATTATTTTGTTTGTTTAAATTTAAAACTTAATTTTTTTATTTTCAAGTCTCTTTAGTAGTACATTTTTGTAGTACATAATGCTCACACTCCTTGTGGGGAGTTGGTGTGTGTACATAACACATCTTAATTCTTTGGTTTTTTCTATCCATTTTCCCTCCTCCCTCCTCCCTCCCTACTCCATCTTGTGGTCCTCTTCCCATATGGAAAAAATCTTTTATTTTGCTCTTTATGTTTATTTTCAGTTTCTTCTGTAAGAGAAACCATGCAATATTTAAGTTATTGTGTCTTGATTTATTTCACTTAACATTATGGTTTCAGGGTACATTAATTTTCCCACAAATGACTCAAGTTTATCCTTCTTTAGTAGAGCACTTCTCCATTGTGTATGAATATCACATTTTCTTTATACATTCATCTGTTGATGGACATATGCTGCTTCCAAGATTTTGCTATTGTGAATTGTGCTGCTAGAAACATGAGAATGCACATATTACTGTAATATGATATCTTTAACTCTTTCAGGGAGATATCTAGAAGGAGAATAGCTGGGTCAAATGGAATGCCTGTTTTTTGAGGAATCTCCATACTGAGTGATTTCCATAGTGGTTGTCCTAGTTTACATTCCTACCAACAGTATAGAGAGTTTCTTTTTCTCCCTGTTTCCTCAGCAACATTTCTGTTATCTGATTTCTTGACGATAGCCATTGTTTCTGGAGTAAGAGAATCTCAGTGTTGTTTTAATTTGTGTTTCTTTTATGGCTAGAAATGCTGAACATTTTTTCATGTATTTATTGGCCATTTGTATTTCTTTTCTGAGAAGTATTTGTTCATTTCAGTTGCCCATTTTTTGATTGGGTTTTTTTGTGGGGGGGCTGTATTTTTTGAGTTCTTAGCTTTCAGTGATACAAATAGCCCACTGTGGCGCATGTGTCATATGTTCGCCACCAGTGGTCTAGATATTAGTCCTCTGTCTGAGGAATAGCTGGCAAAAACTTTTTCCCATTCTATAGGTTGTCTCTTCTATTGGTTGTGTCCTTGCTGTACAGAAACTTTTTTAATTAGATATGATCCCATGTTGATTCTTGGTGTTATTTCTTGCATACTTAAGGTTCTGTTCAGAAAGCCTTGGGCTATACCTCTATCTTCAAGAGTTTTGCCTGTTTTGTCTCCCACCATATTGTTTCTGTTTTAATATGTAGATCTCTGATTCATTTTGATTTTAGTTTGGTTCATGGTAAGAGATAAGGGTCTAGATTTAATCTTCTGTGTGTGAACAGCTGTTTTTCAAGCTCTATTTGTTAAAGAAGCTATCCTTTCTCTAGCATAAGTTTTTGACCTCTTTGTCAAAGATCAGGTAGCTGTGCCTCAAGTTCTGCATTCTCTGTTGTGCTCCATTGACCCACTTGTCTGTCTGTTTTTGTTTTGTTCTTCAGTACCGTGCTGTTTTATCCCTGTAGCTTTGTAGTATAACTTGAAGTCTGGACTGTGATGCCTCCTGTCATACTTCTGTTGGCCCAGATGGTTTTGCTATGCTAAGTCTCTTGTGGATCCATATGAATTTTAGAACTGTTTTATCTAGTTCTGTTGTTGGTATTTTGATTGGGATTGAATATGTATATCAGTTTTGTTAAATATGTATATCAGTTTTGGAAGTATGATCATTTTAACTATATAGTATTTATTCTACCTGTCCAGTAACAGTGTACCTTTCCATTTTCTGAGGTCCTCCTTGATCTCCTTTTTCAGTGTACTTTGGTTTACACTGTAGAGGTCTTTTACTTCCTTGGTTAGGTTAATTCCTAAGTATTTAATTCTTATTGATGCTATTGTCAAAGATGTTATTTACCTAATTTCTTTTTTAGTGAGTTTATTGTTGGTGTACAGAAAAGTTGTGATTTTTGTGTGTTGACTTTGCATCCTCTTATGCTACTGAATTTGATTTTAATTCTAGGAGTCTTGGTGGAATTTTTTAAGTCTTCTATGTAGAAGACATGTCATCTGCAAATAATGTTAATTTGATATCTTCTTTTTCTCTTTTTTTTTTTTCTGCCAGTACTAGGAATTGAACTCACAACCTTGTGCTTGCCAGGCAGGCACTGTACCACTGAGCTAAATCCCCAGCCCCTTCTTTTTCTATTATATCCCTGTTATTTTTTCTCTTGCCTGTTTGCTCTGATTAATATTTTGAGATGGACATCCTTGTCTTCCTAATTTTAGAGGGAAAGCTTTCAGGTTCTTCCTATTAAACAAGTTCCTGTAGGCTTGAACCACTAGTGGTACATGTATGCCTATCCCGGTGCTTTGTACCACTGGCAGTTCAGATGGATCACTTTTATCAGTCTTTTTACTAATAAAATTAATAAAAATGCTATAAATGGACCAAATCTAGTTACTTGAATTCAAATAATTACCCAAATCGAATAATTACCCAAATTGAATAATTAAAGCAGGACTGATGGGGGAATTCCATTTTATAAGCAAGAAATATGCTTCCTCATCCTACACCCAGTTACATTCATAACCTTCTATTGATAATTCTAACTAGAGATACAGGTGAGAATATGTATTTTTTGCTTTGTGGTTTTTTAAGAAGGGGGTTTAGATTCCTCTTAAGCTTTACTATACCAGGAGAAATTCCCAACAATATACCTGAAACTGCATTTTCCCCATATTACAAGATGTAACAGTCATATCACACAGTAAAGCTTGCAAGTGTTTTCAATTGTTTCAAATTATTCCAGTTCCCTTAAAAGTCCTGGAGAGAGTTCTGTCCAATGAGTGAGTCAGGAGGATGAAGGAACACTATTAGAGCAGAGAAAAACCTGAGACAACAAGAGACTTCAGGGACGAACTCAATCCAGGACTGAGAATGAGTGCACCAGGGAAGTGTCTGGAGGAGGTGATTCTGTACTTAAAGGAAGATAGAATTCAGTTTCCATTACTCATGGAAGATCAAATGCAACTGAGTTTTTGAATGTGTTTTCCATTGTGAGAGCCATTGTCAATTCAGGATCATTTCTGACAATTCTATGAAATATTTCAGTTCTGTACAAGTGCTATTCCACTTGGTACTATTCCTCACATGATGAAATCTTTTTCAAAATGACTTTTTCCTTGAAGAGTGAGTGATTACAGGAAAGTGTTATTATTGGTCCAGAGAGCACAAATTCTGCAGTCTGGTTTTTTTGTTTTGGTTTTGGTTTTGGTTTTGGCTTTTCTCTGGTTCCGGAAACCGAACTCACGACCTTGCGCTTGCCAGGCAGGCACTTTGCCGCTGAGCTAAATCCCCAGCCCCAATTCTGCAGTCTGAACTCATGAGTCAGAGTGGGAGAAGCACCATGAGCTATAGGCTTGGGATGCTGGCCCCTGGCTTAAGAAACATCAGTGGTCATTCTTGATACAAAAGCCCTCTCTAGTTATATTGCCTGCTTTGTGGAAGAAATATCCCCCTCTCCCAGCAAAACTCAGAGCAGCTTTGGAGTTCACAACAGCCATGGACTGTGCCACCATTTCTCTCTGAGTCTCTCATCCCTGGGCACTTACCTCTCTCCTGGGGAGCCAGGTTCCCTTTCTAGTAAGCCACAGACCACAAACCAAGTGTTCAGATTGTCTTGTTCTTTTGCCTGCGTTGTGCACTGACTTTCTAACTTCTGATATTTTCCTGTCAGTTCCTTCCCAGTTCCTTTTTTTTCCTTCACTTAGTTTTTTTTTTTTATTTTAAAGAGAGTATTAAAAAAAACAATAGCAAAATACCAGCATCACAAACATAACACAAAGCAAGAACATTAAAAGTGATACAGGGTTTCAAAACAAAATGATAGGAGTTAACAATAGTTGTTATATATTGTTATCTTCAACTAAGTTGCTCAGATTACCAGACATAAGAATGGAAGATTGTTCAAACCATTAAAGAGAATAAAAAATAATTAACCAGAGACAGTACAGAGTTTCACTAGACAAGATGGTAGGAATTCACCAATGGTTGTTCCATTGCATATTGTTGTCTTTAAATCAGTTGCTCAGGTTACCAGATATAAGCATGCAAGTTTTT